ATATATATATATATATATGAGATTATATATATAAAGAGTGTGATACGTTATATGAGTTGCGTGTTGTGTGTATGACGATGAAAGAAAGAGAGAATTTGCGAGAGAACGCGAGAGGGAGTGAAAGAGAGCGAAAGAAAGAGAGAGAAGGAGCGAGGGAGAGTGTGCATCTGCGACGTTTATATTGTGCTGCGCAAGAAAGAACGTGAACTATTCCAAGGTACGCCCTGCTATTACTTACCACCTATTATTCCAAATAATAACAGTATGTTCAAAATGCAACATCAAAAAAAAAAAAAAAAAAAGAAATTACAGATATCATGAAATAAAATATTCTGTGCGGAAACATGAGGACGTATCATTATTCCGGACGTTTTTAGTGCTGAGGAAAGGTGAAAGACATATAGAGTCGTACTTTTGTGGATCAAATTTCTCATGCTCTTTCTTTCTTACATGTGTAAAAAAAAAGAAAAAAAAAAAATTTTTTTGATTTGACGATGTGACGATGAGAAAGCATCGAAAAGTAAATGATTTGTGGAAAAAAATAATTAAAAAAAATGAATAGCTTGGAGTTCACTGTTCTTCGGCACAAGATAACTGTCCTGGCACCTTTCTACTCGCATCCCACGACAGACTCCTCGTTCCATCCCACTACGTGTTCCTTGACGTGCGTACGTTCTTGTTATAGGGCATCCAACTTGTTTGCAATTCACTGCAAACATGATCGTTTCTGTTCGCAAGTACAGGTGGCAGTGTATCGAATGCAAATGTTGCTCTATTTGCGGCACTTCGGACAACGATGTAAGTATCTATTCCGCAATCTCTTTCGCAGGCTCTCGGCTAACGCCTAAGCAATTGAGTTTGGACGGTAATAGAAGCGCGCGGGCGAATAGTACGAATAAATACGGTATTGATCTAGATTTTCATTCGTGTGAGAATTGTTGAATTATTTTCGAGAATCTTTTCGGATCAATTGTCACATTGTGTTCACGTTTTTAAACAATTTTAACTGTCGTATCTTAAATAATTTCTAACACTTATTCGTTAAAATCGACGGGTCCGAGTTTAACGCGCTGTCAGACGAATTTAACGGCATTGCCGAAAATTTGCAAGAATCGTTGAAAATAAATGTATTAATATTATGCGCTTTACACACACACACGACCATGGATTGATTTGATATTAACGGTATATTTGGCGAACTAAAATAGGATCAGTTGCTGTTCTGTGACGACTGTGATCGTGGCTACCACATGTATTGTCTGTCTCCGCCTCTTGCGTCACCTCCCGAGGGCTCCTGGTCTTGCCGCCTATGCATAGCCGAATTTCATCACCGTGATTAAGTCCACTTTCATAGATAAGTCACGGAGCTATCCATTTACTGTGGCATAGCGGTCATCTTATTAGGAGAATTAGGAGAGTATTCACGGGCTCATCCATATACTATAGTATTACTTATACGGCGTTTACACACCGGCAAATTTGTTCGAGAAGAAGAAAGAAAAATTAAACGGCAACTTCATCGATTTACTCTATTTATTACGAAATTCACATTGATCATCAATTACCCGGTTAAATTAAATTATGTTAATGATAATGATAATGATAATGATAATAATAATTAGGAGGATACGTTTATATAGCATACTACATTAGATATCTCAGGCACTGGTGATCTCAACGAGATAAAGATGTAAGGAAACACATATTTATAATTTAACTGAGGTAGCTTCTACGAATAGATGTATAAAGATATGCCGCAACCCAACTGTTAGCAAGGTTCCCGTAAGTGGAACGGAGACAAAGAGATTACTAATTTTAAAGACAAAGACGGAGTTCGATTTACCGATGATGTTAGATTTTACATTCGTACTGAACAAAGTGTATTTTTTGCTCATTTTAGAAACTGACGCGTGTGTATATACACTCTACAGCGATATTACTAACTACGTGAACGAACGAAACGAACGATAGAGATTTAATTAAAGATCGCTAAATAGGACAATACTCTCCTAGTTCTAGATTCTACTCTACTCTTAGTCAATGATATTTGAAATTTTGTTGCTTTCCAAACTTTTACAGTTGCTTAAATTTAACGAAAATTTGGCGATCTCTCGAGTTTTCACATTAAATCTTAGCTCCTCGCTATCGACTTGGCTCGGGCCGCGTTTCATAGGAGAAAGGAATACGGAAAAGAAAACGAAAGAATTCATATTCTAGATCATGATATTAATAGTATTTGTTCCATGAATAGTGATAAATAGAATATTATCTGTTTCTCTGTATGTATCATGATACTAAAAGCTTTTACACATAGCTATTAGTAGCGGACATAGCTGTCGTATACAGACTTGCAGTACTGGAGGAAAATTATATTCTACATGTTCTTCGTCATTTATAGCTCAGTATTTTTATATTTTATATATTAAATGTACTTAATTTAAGACGGCGCTGTGGGTGATATTTGGTATATATATTCGTTGATTAATATAAAACCTCCTTTTTCAATTTATCGATCTTATATTATCGCCTAATTGTATTATGGTTAGATACACTCAAATTTCCATCGATTCACTCTTAAGTTCTTTTTTTTTTTTTTTTTTTTCTAATTAGAGCGACGGTTTTATATTTTATATTGCTTATTTTTAACATTATGTATACAAATTTGAAAATAAATATTAGTTTATACAAACCGGATTATTAAGTTTAGAAAAGTCTTATTGCGTGCCATTGTATACTTTTTATTCAACTCTCTCTCTCTGCAGGAGAAAGAAATATAACAAACAATATGACTCACGAACAGGTGCTATATTTCAGGGATTAGCTTTTCTTTTGAATGTTACGATTACTTTGTAATATTGGCAGCGATGTTTTAAGCCAAGGGGCACTACATTCTACGATTATAGTAAATAATTATTATCCACAAAATGTAATGTAAGATATTAAAAAAAGTTAGTAATCCGAAAAATATAAAATTTTTCATAAAAATAGCATTAACATAAATACATGTTGGATTGTTTATTTCAAATACTCCCATTCTCGTTTTTCCATGTAAATAAAGAAACGTATGAAATATTCTTGCAATTTTTTTTTAGCGCATCAAACGATAGCTATAAGGCATCAATTGTGTAATTTATACTTCCGTTAGTCGATCTCGACTAGGATCTCAGTCAGATCTTTCCGCTGCAAATCGGGTATAGTGGCGTCTTTAGCTGGATAACCGACCGGCAGAAGTAATACTAACTTCTCGTTGGATGGACGTCCAAGGATGTTGCGTATTGCTGGTCCACAATTCATTGGCGTAGATGTAAGAGTCACCAATCCGGCATACTATATTTGAAAATGATGTACAATAAATTAAGTTAAATATAGACACAATCATTACATAAGTGAAGTATCACAAAGTTTATGAGATACAGTTCGTAATGACTCGTTCCAAAATTTTGTTAAGAATTTAATCAGAGATCATTTTTTTTTTTCAAATCGATACTTCCTTCTATTTGATTAATTAATTTATTTTAGTTACATTGTATATATTTGATTTTTATATATATTTTTTATGTTATATATATTTTGTTATATATATTTGATTTTTCATGAACTGTGAAAAAGACTCTTCACAGAAAAAAAAAAAAGATTTGTTTTGAGATAACCTTTGATACAATCAATACAATTATGTAATAAATTAATAAAATTATAATGATAAATTATAATGTATAGATTCATGACTTGACATATACGATGGGAATCTTCAAATTGTTATGTTTCATGAAATTGTCTTCAGTGACATTAATGACAAGGAAATATTTTAATTCACCTGTATAGCAGTAATGAGAATTCCACATGCGATAGAAACGCTCAATTCATTATAATAATGAATCTTTTTCTGTCCATTTGGCAAAATGCCATAAGTTTGCTTGAACACAAGTATCAAGTACGGAGCTGTGGTGAGGTATTCCTTTATCCAGTTAGTCCTTAGCGGAGATAAGTCAGTTGTCCACTTTATACCCATCCTCTTTTTGTAATTGATTTTTTCCTCTTGCTCTACGATATCTCTGATGTTTGATTTCGTAGTCGGATCGGATATCGCAATAAAAGTCCATGGCTCTGTATGCGCGCCGCTGGGAGCAGTACCTAAATAAAAAAAGAAATATTGTAACTTGAAAAGATGAGATGCGTATATGTAAGTATCTTGAATCAACTTGTTTTAAGTATCTACTTCTAATATAATCTAGAGTATTAAGATTTAATGTCGATATTTTAACGCATAATTTATGCTATGAATCATTTTTGTCTTTATTTTTATTTTTACAATAACTGTTTACATTTTGAAAATGTTTGAAACATTGGATTTCAATTTTTTAATCGTACAGTGTTTTCTGGGTTTGAATTTTTAATATTGGAACAGATTTTACTTGATAAGTATCATCGAAATACCTGCGGCTCTTATAAGTTCACGGATAACTTCCTTCGGAACGGGATCGTCGCTAAAGAATCTTAAGGTTCGCCTCGCTGCAGCTATTCGATAAAATTCTGACGCACGAGCTAATAATTCCTTTTCGGATTTCCGAACGTTATGGTATGGTATGTGCTTAAGATCGTGTGGTAAAGCGGGCTCCACTTCAAACGATCGTTCATTCACTTCTGGAAGATAGTAATATGAAGAAATTGTTATCTTATCAAAATCCTTATCGTATAATGTGTATAATTAAACATATATGCTACGGACGGAATTGATAAAAATGCAGCAGAAAAAAAAAAATAAAATTCAAACATTGTATTTATTTATTTTGGCGGAATAAAATTACAATATTTAATATGCAATATGAAAAAAAAGGATTTTAGGTTCTCTTTCTAAAATCGAAAATAAGAATCACATAATGCAATCGCGAAGTGGACTTTTTTAATACTAAGAACTATGGATAATTAATTATTTTAACTATTTAAATTTATTATTATACCGATTTGGAATACAAAAGTTAATAGTGGTACAAATTTCAAAATTTAAGTAGCTGTAATTTTATTAAAAATAAAGAAATTTATCTAGCACTTTGTTCTGTTGAATGTATATAATTGCTAATTTAAAAAAAAAAAATCATATTAATTATTCAAATTAAGTAGCGCTACAAATTTTTGTTTTGACTTAATTATTTTTTAAAAGTTAAGAATAAATGGTAATTGATCAATTTATATACTAATACAATACATTGCAACAAAAGTCACGGAAAATCTTAGAAAAAGCACTGTTATAAATTACATAAAAAATAACAAATCAACTATTTTGATTGCTTTTTGATAGCTGCAAAACGTAAAAATTATGTAATTTCTGATCATGATTAACTCAACAAAACTTAGCATATTAATCATTACTCTTGTCATTTCCTTAATTATCGTTATTAAATCCTTTGCGATACATGAATCTTCATCACTTATTGCAATAAAGAAGCTGATTTTAAGATTTCAAGTGAGAAGGCCTAGTATTTTTCGCCGTTTCTTCGCGGATTTTTTTCCAAAATGAAACGAATATGATTGTATCCAGCGTCTTATATACGTAAAAGTATCTGCTGCGACATTACTTTCACTTGATTCCGTGGATTTCTCGGTTAATACACTTGTCCCATTTTGCACAGTTCTCTCAACCAAATGTTCGAAGAATGTTTTTAACAAAATGAACGACACAATACCAATGATTATGTGATAAAAGTACTGGATCGTGAAGGGCAAGTATTCGGCGAACATTTCTACGCACAATGTAGTTGATTTATGCGGCTCTTCACATGTTACTGATTCGCTACCAACTATCGAGTGAGACAATGTAAGTTGCACGAAAGATAAAATAAAATGACGTCAATGATTGCATTCAGTAAAAACGCAGCCTTGCAATTGTTGCAAAATTGTTTAATACGATTGACTCCTCACTGGATAAATGCATCAAACTGATCATATTACAAAATCTTACAACAATTGTAAAATTGCTTTTTCTGTTAAACGCGGCCGCTATCGAACATTCACCACCATCACTTAAAAACATCGAATATGTACAATTCAGGCGCGAGCTATGCTACGGGAAAAGGAAAAGAGTGGGGGGGAATTTTTCTTTTTCCCTCTCTCCGTTCTCTTCAGTAATTGAACATTTTTCTCAAATAATACATTTTTGACGATAATTTTGTGATGAATTCTTGACATAATGACAATGATTAAGTAATTTTTTAGTTAAAAAAGCACATATAAATCATTATTAATTACGTCAAGAATTGTATTTAATGTCATTTTGATCTTATTATGATTTTGTATTCTACCTGTGTATGACCTGATGATTACACAGTTCGTAAATTATGATTTTCGTTGACCATATTCAGCGGAAAAAGTAGCTTCGTAACTGTTGTAAGATTCTTTAATATGATTGGTTTATATCTCTAGAGAGTTCCACTACATGGATCTACATGTAAAGTAATCAAAACTCTATATGACCTAGTATTCAATATTCATTGTTTGTAGGTACAGAGAGAAACCTGTAACTAATTACACGATGAATTTACCAAGATAGCATTAGTAAGACATGCAGGCTATCCGTCTGACTCAATTGCATTAATATATTGCTCAGTTGTTTATTCTGTTATACTGTCAGTAAAGCAAAATGCAGAACGTCGTAGTCATGATGTAATTTTTCGCAAATAAATAATTGTTTTTTATAACTACTAAGAGAGGTTATTAATTTCTGTAGTTTATATTATTGTAGCTCTGTATTTATACTTTTATAACAATGTATTTAATTTATATCTTCATCAGAACGTTTTGTTTTTAATAAAACAGGAGAAATTCTTTGTAAGGTAGAAACAATATGGCCAGATATATTGAATGTATACACATCGATTGTAATGTTTTTCTTGGTACTTCTGTTATTCCAAACTGTATATAGATTTTAATTCATCTGCTAAAACATCGATAGAGATAAGTAAGTAAATAAGCGATTATTTGGAAAATAGTTCTTTGTGTATTCTTACATGTCAATAAACACATCAATATGTTAATAAATTTATAATCTTACAAAAGTAACACTGCATCACTTTATTTTTCATTTTTCTAACATTTTTTTTATAAAAAAGAGGAAAACATATATTTAGACTATATTGGATACACACATATGTACTGTACTTTTTAAAATCTTCACTGCAGTCATATAAATATTTGAAAAAATTCCATAACTTTTTTTATGTTCAGAAATGTGTCCTCTTTTAAATCTGACCAACAGTTTTCAATTTTAAACTCATGAAAAAATATTTTTAAATCACAAAGCCACATAAATAAGATCCTATTATTTTATAAGTAATTAATTGTATTAAAAAATCTTACAATAGATGCAAAGTCATTTTTTCTGCTGAATTCATTATTAATTATCAGGCGAGAGATTAAGAAATGAGCGATATTAATGTGTTACTTTGAATTACGGTTGGCGTTAAACATTGTTACCAAATATTTTGGGTTTATTATGAAACTGCTGGCCAACAGACTTTCAATATTTTGTCTGTTCTCCTAACGGAATATATATATACACCTTAAAGGTACAAGCAACTTTTCATGCTTTTACAGAAGAAATTATGAATTATTCTTTAGAATATATAAATGTGTGTCTTATGAGATACAGGTCAGGCTCGAGCGAAACTGTTTTTTGAGAATCAAAAGTAATAATATAATGATTCTATACTCCAAAACATCCTCTCCAAGAAAAATTTTACTCGCTAAGATGTAGTATATGTTACGTGTACATATTACTGTATGTACATATTGAATAAAATTTTCCTCGAAAGGGACGTTTTGGAATGTGTTTTCCAAATATGGAAGAATTTATATGTGCCAATTGGCGAAACGAGAAAGCAAGTCCGAGTGACAAGATTCTATCCTGTTCCAGATCTCTCGTCTCTTAATGACACTCGTTTCCTCACTTCTTTTTTGCTACCTATTTCAGGACTTGGTAGTCAACTGATGGAAGAAAACGATCGAATAATATATTATAGTACAAGTGTGGATACTCGAATTTGGTATTGATGTTGTATCACTCGTGTCAAATTTCGAACATAAACTTTTAGTTTTCTGATTATAGATATATTAGCTGCACCATAAGTTGAGTTCATTAATTCTGATAGTTATTAATTGTCTCGGTTCGTTGAGAACTGAAAATCGTAGGAGCGTTTTCGTTTGCATTTTAAACGCCTTTCTCCCTTATTTGCCAAATACGGCGACTAAGAATATAATTGAAAGAGAGAATTAGTTTTCTCAGAAATTTCTAATAGCTTTATACTCTTTTGCTCCATTTACATAATATTACGTAACTTTGTCCAGCAACAAATCGATAATATAAGGGTTATAAAAATGAAAAAAATTATAACAAATTAAAAAGTAAAAAATAATAAATAAAATGCCAATTTGAGCCGACACTGATTATTAGTGTGTATTTTAATATCATTTATTCAAAGTGAATATTAAACGTATACGTTTCGACCTATGATCAAGGTCCTCTTCAGTACAAAAATATTAACAAAAGTACATAATGATACATAGCGCATACGAATATAAATTAATACTTTAAAAAGCGAGAAAAACGTGGTGGTGATGTCTGGGTTAATTTTGATCATTAAATTGCTAAGTTAACTAAAAAGAAAAATATTTTTTGTTATAAAACGGACCAACCCAAAAGGTTAAAAATAATTTAAAAAGTACTAACATGAGATTATATGCGAAAAATAGTAAAAAACAAAAAACGTGGCTTTAGAATTTTCTTTAGAGCGTATCGATTTTATTGAAATTAAAAAGTTTTTCATAGATATACATTTATTATTTATTTAATAAAAATAGCTTTTTATTTATTTAATATAAAATAAGAGATTTTGTTGTATTACTGTGTATAAAATTTCTACGAGAAAATTTGCTTAGACAAAATAATTTTATATAATCCTATTAAAAAAAGAAATATCTCTTCCCAATAAATAAGCTGACGTCATTTGTTGTCATTTTAATGTCAAATGACGGTAAAGACATCATTTTGACGCCAAAATGACGATAAACAACTACGTCAGCTTGCTTACTAAATTATCGATTCTTGCATTTTCTTCTCGTTATTTTTATGTACTTATTAACGAATTAATCCTTTGACTTGTGCACCAATCTGACAGCACATTTTTTCGTTTTTTCTCTCGTTTTACGATCACAAGGTGATGCAACGTGCGCCGTGTTGACCTTGATTATCAATAAGGAAAAATCGATACATAGAATTAACGAGAACGCAGTATACAATGTCTTCCTCCAGAATCGCAGGAGATATATTCCAATTGCAAACAGACCTTTTACAGAACAGAATAAATAGTATCAGAAGCTGCGTTCGACACTTTGGAACTACCTCATATAAGATAAAAAAAGCAATGAGAGAGATAAGAAATTGCGTACGAAATTCTCGAGAGAGCAGGACCGTGTCAAGCATTCGATGTAAATGAGGATCAATTAAGTATTAGTAATTTTCGAAAACTCAATCAAATTCTGCTTGACATAGTATAATAATGTGTTCAAATTTAATTTGTGTGTCTAAGTACTGTCTTTTTTTTTATTTTTTATTTCATCGACTCTGACATTAAATATTCTGTTGTGTACACAAAGCGATTGGCTGGGAACGTGGTTGCCTGTGTATTGCACCAACCATTATACCTATGAAATATGTATCACAGTAATGCTTGGAATGGAATCTTTACACTTTGTTTAACTTTAGCTCAGGGATTCGATTGTGTATCTCACAATTTAATGAAAATCATAAAAAACATAATCATAATAAATAATTCATTGGAACATATTCATTATATATAATTCTAATTAGTTAAAACCTGTAATAGTAAATTTGCTCATTTTTGTATTTAATTTTTGTATAATTAACTTCTTAAATCAAGCAGCGATTTCGAATAAACGTGTTACATTCGCCAAGATGCATACTCAAAAAACGTGATTAAAACGAATAAGGATAGATTGAAACGAATTGAAATTTTATTTATCGAATGCGTTTAAATAAAAAAACTGTTTTTTTTTAATTCAATTAAATTCAATTGGATTTCATTGGATTCAACTGGATTTAATTGGATTGAAAAACTGCATTTTCTATTCAAATTTTTGAATTGAGCAGTATTTATGGCGCACCTAAAAAAAGTTGATGTTACTTTTAGATTAGAGGGTATAAAAATGTGCTTCATACAATTCCTACGAATAAACAAAAATACATTGGGATTGGAAAAGGATTCACTTCAACGTTCCTGCGAATATACTTTTGAAAATCTGAATCCATTTCAATGAATTTCTCGTCATTTCAATTCATTCTCGTTACAGCATAAACGCGCCTTGTGACGCCATTACACAAGTCAAGTATAAACGTCAAAACAATAACAGTAATTCCAGAATAGATGTGCATTTTATTGAACGCTTTTATATGTTACAATTAGTGTATATGTATTACGATCAAGTCGGACGCTTTCCACACATTGAATTTACCGTCAGTCCGAACGGCGTCGAAATATTCTCCAAGAGAGCTTTGTTCAAATGCTTACTTAAATGTTACTTAAATGTTAGATTAAAAATCTTCGAGGAGATTAATTTTATCCTCGTTATTAATATCTGGTAAACAACAACGATAAAGTGATCGGAGCTACTCAGGTAGTGTGTTGTTCGTACGCAATCTAAGAGGAGGACTTCGGTCCGGACAATCGGTATATCACGCGCGGGGCGCGGAGTTACGGTGGTACGGGCCTGAAACGGCTGAGTGGCCAGCGCGCGAGCGGCCAATAAGCGGTGGCGCTCGGCGGCTGCGCGAGAGGCGTGAAGCGCGTAGTAACGAAAACGTGCACGGGTCCGGTGACACGGCTGTGCGGGTTCCGTTCCGTCCGCACCATTCGGGCGCGGCGAATCGGGCGGT